ACAGGCAGGAAATATTGAAAGTGATGGAAAGGGCCCCTCGTTGACCAAGCTTCTGTCAGGCCCCTCGGAATCTCTTCCCAACTAGGCTGCAACCTCTGCACATTAAGGTCCAGCTTTGCACAGCCCAATATTAGCAAGAACCCTGTGAGGTTGGTTTGGCTAGAAACCCCCGCACTTAGTATATGATCACCCTCGAGACCTCATTGGGTTCCCCACCCAGCAAAACCCCAGGTGATGGGGAATCACCCTGGCCTGTCTTCAGCAAGAAGCCTGTCAGGAGGATTGACCAGTCCTCTCACCCCTGCAGTTCCCTTTGTACTTTTCCATCCACTGACCCCACCCTGCTCCCGACCCTGATTCCAACATGTCCTTGTTCTATTCAGAGTTGCCCCGTGTCTCTCCTACAGAAAATCTCCATGGAACATCCCTGAACTCAGGCTGCCTTCTTGTTCATGAGTATCTGTGAGAATGGAGGTTTCCTTCAGCACTCCTCCCACTGAGGGCCTCAGCCGATTATGAAACACATCAGTCCTGCCTGTCCCCTCGGCCCCAGCCCGAGGAATACCCACCACAGGTTGGCGTCTAGGTGATCACTTCAGACCACGTCCACCTGGGAGGTGTGAATCAGTCCCAACCACAATTCACCTACATTCTAATGGGGTTTCCTTCTGCCAGGGCCAGTCTGGGTGAGAGTGTCGCCTTCCCTCTGGGGAGGCTCAGACCAGCACCTCTCCCCGAGCCCTGGAACTTCTGGATCATGAACCATCAGAAGTGTCACCTGGAGGGCAGGGCAGTTAACATGCAAACCCATGTTGGGGCACCATCAGTTTAAATCTTGGGTCACCCTCCACCGAGCAGTGTCCCTCCCCACCCAGCTGGGTCCTCAGCTCTGTCCCTCACTGTCCTCATACAGATTGGTTGTCCCAACATCCTGGCTTTGCTCCTGGCTGTCCTCCCAAGCAAGTCACAGGCAACGTGTTGGGGCCGCAGAGGAGAGAGGGCAGGAGGCAGCCCTGATCTGAGTCGTGCTCTCCCACACAGGTGTCTGCGCCCAGGTGCAGCTGGTGCCGTCTGGGGCATAAGCGAAAAGACCTGGGGAGTCTCTGAGGATCTCCTGCAGGGCTTCTGGGTACAGCTTCACCAGCTACTGGGTCAGCTGGGTGGGCCAGTCACCTGGGAAGAGCCTGGAGTGGATGGGAATGATCTATCCTGGTGACTCGCACACAAGATACAGCCCTCCTTCCAAGGCCAGGTCAGCATGTCTACAGACAACTCCATCAGCACCAGGTACCTGCAGTGGAGGAGACTGAAGGCGAGTGACCCAGCAGGGCATTACTGTGGGAGGGACACAGTGAGGGGAAGGCAGTGTGAGCCCAGACTGCCTTGAAGTCTGCAGTAAAGAGAACCAAGTTTCTCACGGGGACAACAGGCAGAGTCTCAGACACTCTTGTGTCCAAATGACAATGAATCATCAAATCTTCTACCCAAGTCACCTGAATCTAAGAGGAGGCTCTGCTGACTGCACCCTGCAGCTCAGCTCCACACATCTCAGGGTCCCAACCAGACAGGAGCAGGAAACCTGGGTGCTGGAGAGATGGCACCGAGGGATGTGACCCCAAAGCTAGAGAAGAGAGGTCGTGGAGGTGACGGTCATTGACTTGGCATCATGCTCACACCACCAAGAGAAGGTGACACCAGGCAGAGGCAGAGGGACCCACCCTCCTGGGGAATGGTTGTCTAGGCTGATGATGTCACACACACAGAGGGACCAGTCAAAGGTTTATCAGTTCATGGGGGTGCTGCTGAGAGAATACAGCCTGTTCAGCAGGAAATGGTTGGATCGGCCAGGTGCTGACACTGGTTCTGGTTTTCCCTGTGGATCAAGAGTGTGGACCAAGTGGGTCCTATTCACAGGGTGCGTGTGTGTGGTTTGTATGTCCCACCTGCAGGACACAAGGGGTTCCCCACTTTCTCTTCAGATTTCACACGTGTGCAGGAGATGGAAAGGGGTGAACCCTGACGTGTCAGCATCAGCCATCAAGAGATAGGGCCTGACTACTTATGCCCCTTAAGACCCAGAAAGCATGTGGTGTTGATGGTGATGATGATGATGGTGATGGTGATGATGGTGATGGTGATGATGGCGATGATAAAGATGATGGTGATGGTGATGATGGTGATGGTGATGGTGATGATGGTGATGATGGTGATGATGGTGATGATGGTGATGGTGATGGTGATGATGATGGTGATGATGGTGATGGTGATGGTGATGATGGTGATGGTGATGGTGATGATGGTGATGGTGGTGATGGTGATGTTGAAGATAATAGCCGGAGACATGGGCCCTGCACAATGAAATGATCGTCTCTCTTGCAGACACACCATCACCGTGGTTCCTCCGGTGACTCTCTTGCTCATGGGTGTGCTATTGCTATTAAACAGTGTCTGTTATCACTACTCCCCAAGAGGCTGATGTCTCATTCCTGACATTAGGACCCATGGGAGGGCTACTATGGCCAGTGAACCTAGGGGATGTCCTCTGAACAGCAGGGTCCATAGTGCTCATGCTGGAAAGGACCTGACAGGCAGCTGGATGAATGGAGGGGTCTCTAGACCCCTGTGGGCATTGGTGGAAAATGGGCTCTCATAAACCCTGGGTGTGAGGATGCACTGAGCTCATGTCCCACATAAGGAGGTGGGTTAGCGGCATCTCTAAAGTTTAGGTTTTATGTCCATGCTTTGAAAATATATTTTAACACATTTTTACTCATTTCAGAGGGAGAAAGGGAGAGGGAGAGAGAGAAAGAAAGATCAACAATGTGACAGAGTCACTGAAGGGCTGCCCCCGAGACACCCCCTCCTGGGAATCAAGTCTGCGACCCGGACATGTGGTCCGGTCAACAATCAAACCATGAATTCCTGGTTCATTGGTGGACACTCAACACCTGAGCCACACCATCCCCACTGCAAATATTTTCATTACATGTAGATTCAACAAAACAGTTATCTAAACACTATAGAAAGACTCACCTGTCCTATTTACACAACAAACTCTCAGAATGGTAATAACCAAANCTGTCCTCTTTTCACAATAAACTCTCAGAATGGTAATAACCAAACTGGCCAACACCTGGCTGTTATCAACTTAACTCCTATCAGCATGACATTGACTGAATTTACACTGCAAAGGCCTCCATCTCCTAGACGAGTAATTAACCTGAAGTTCGAGCAACCTCACTAATCATAGGTAACTTGACTTAAGTTTATTTCTCTAATTATTGATTTTATTATTTTCTATAAGGATATTCATAACTAGGCAGAGAGACCCCCTGTAAATGTCCTTCTGGTTCTTGAAAAACCCACAATCCCTCCATGACCTCCAAAAATCTCTCTAACTACTCAGTGTGNAAAAGCATCTAATCAACACTCAGTCTTGTTTGTCTCCTTGAAGGTCAGGAAGCCAGAGATGCTCAGGGCCAGGGAAACCAACACACCACGTACACGGAGTCCACTCTCCAAGACCTGCAGCCTGAGGTCTCTTTCCCAGGAAGGTGCTTGTCTCCAGCCCTGAAGTGTGGGTAACACTAGAAGACAGACTTTCATCCTTCCTTTCATTAAATACACGGGCTTCTGCACCCTCATTGGAAGGACCCCTATCTGCCCTGAAGATGGTTTAGGGGAGCAGTAGGGGCGNTTCCCTGAAGATGGCTTAGTGGAGCAGTAGGGGCCAGTGTGGAAGAGCCCTACCAGATACTCAACTCACTGGTACCACATATGGTTTGTTCGACAAGAATAAACCCTTAGAATTCTTTATTTAGTTAATTAAAATCTCCCAGGGCCATCCCAAGCCACAGGACACTCTCATCCACACAAAGGCAATGCCCTGTCTGTATGTCCCAGCCCAGAAATCCTCATATGGTAGAAGGACATGCAAATAGGGCCCCTCTGGTCATGAAAACCAGCCGAGCCCCGATCCTGCAGCTCTGGGACAGGAGCCCAGACCCGGGATCCCCAGCTGTTCTCATTCCCTCTTCAGGACTGAACACAGACCACTCACCATGGGGCTTGGGCTCAGCTGGGTTTTCCTTGTTGCTATTTTAAGAGGTAATTCATGCAGGTCAAGAGACACCGAGTGTGTGAGTGGACATGAGTGAGAGAAACAGAAGACATGTGACAGTTTCCTGAGCAGGACGTCTTTGTGTTTGCAGGTGTCCAGGGAAAGGTGTAGCTGGTGGAGTGTGGGGGAGCCGTGGTGAAGCCTGGGGGGTCTCTGAGACTCTCCTGTGCAGCCTCTGGATTCACCTTCAGTAGCTATGACATGCACTGGGTCCGCCAGGCTCCAGGGAAGGGGCTGGAGTTGGTCTCACACATTAGTAATACTGGTGGTAGAACCTGCCCTTCCCCACCTGCAGGCTCATCCAGGCCATTTCCAGGGGCTTTTCTATGCAAGTGGCTGTTCTACCGTCATCCTCGGGACTTTCCTAAATCTCTCAAACAAGCACCAGCAGCAGAACCCATATACCTTGATAAGTGGCCCCAGGCCTGGCTCTAGCGGCAGCTGCATTGGTTCATAGCTTGGCGTCAACTGGACACCTCCAAGCCCAGCACAAGCACCAACCATATAGGGTCTGCTGTGTAGCTCATGCTGGGTTGCCCTGGGCAAGGCACAGACACAGGCTGACTTTGCACCTCCCAGGAGGCCCTAGAGACAGTGCACCTGGTGCTCAGACTCGACCAGGCTGGATTACAGCCCTGCCACATCCACGAGTGACACTCAAGGGGCCCACTTGGTGAACACCAAAGTCCACTGAAGTAATCCTGCTCCATGGGGCTGTCTCCAGCGCAGCAGCTGGCCCTCACAGCCGGTTGGCCTGGGGGTCAGTTCCTCCCAGTGACACCAATAGCAACCAAGGCTCAACTACAGCAGGACAGTGCACACGGCCCACACAGGGAAGCAGCAAGAAGGCCCAGCTCAGGTGACTGCGGAAGCTGGGCCCCTGGGCCCTACAGGACACCTACTGCACAGAGCCAATCTACCAATTCCAGGAGACACAGCAGCTCTACCTAATACATACAAACAAACACCCAGAAGCAGCCAAAATGTGGAGGCAAAGAAACATGTCACAAAGGGAAGAGCAGAAGAAATCTCCAGAAGAGGAACTAAATGAAATAGAGCCAAGCAAACCCTGGAGAGAGTTCAGAACAGTGGTTATAAGGATGCTCCGGGACCTCAGTGAGACCATTAAGGAAACGAGTGAGACCATCGGTCACATAATAAAGCACCAGTCAGAAGGGAAGGCCACAGGACTGAGAGGAAGAACAATTTACAGGAATCGAGAGCAGAGTAGAGGACACTGAGAATCCCATCAGCAATTTGGAACATGAGGAACCAGAAAACACCCACCCAGAAGAGCAAGTAGAACAAATCCAGGAAGGCGAAGGTGGTGGGAGGGGTCTCGGGGACAACTACAAGAGGCCCAACCTTCGCCTGTAATACTGTGTGACAGACACAGTGAGAGGAGGTCAGAGTGAGCCAGACACAAGCCTCCCTGAGGGAGTGAGGGGGACCGGGGTGCAAGAGGTTTGAGGACACCAGAGGGCGCTCAGGGGACAGAGATCAGAGCACCCAGCCCAGGAGCAGATGCAGGGGAGGTGAAGTCCTGGGTCCCTGTCGACTCAGCAGCTTCCTCTGCTTCTGAAATTTGCTCCTCAATCTTGTCCAGAGTCCTGGTCGGGACACAGAACAGAAGACTCAGCACCAAACAGCTGGTCAATCTCAAAGAAGGTGACAGGCCTTGGGGGTCATACTCCCAGCTCCCTCTACCTAGTTACAATGCCGTGGGCTCTCTGCACACCAGGAGGGCCTCCCACCCATAGTGGCTTCAGAAGCTGAGTGTGATGATGCCACAGTCACCAGGGCACAAGAGGACCCTCAGTTCCAACATAATTGAGGACTCAGGAGGTCCCGGCAGGCCCATCAACCAGGAGCAATGACCTCAGAGAGCAGGACAGGGGACTGGCTCAGGGTGTGTTGTGTCAGGGAGTGAGGCCTGGTGGGGTCCCTGTGTGGAGCAGGGGCAACCAGAGATGGTTCCCCCTCTGCTCTGTCTCCCTCTGCACAGCCTCCTGACAGCCTTGTCCCCACGGACCACCTGCAACCTCTGGACTTAATTCCCTCCGGTAGCTCTCTCAGGAACCTCCCCTGTGCGTCTGTGTCACGCCCTTTTCTGTGATCATTTCCATTTGATTATATCTCATGTTAACTTTTCTAGGAGCCTAATCTAATGAAAAATACTGGCTATATTCTCAAGTAATTAACACTTTAAAGTAGAATTTAATACATTAATATTCCGACTGAGCCTCAGCCCCAAGCAAGAAAGGCTGCTCTGCCGGGTTAGAGGTCAGGAGGTCAGAGCTCAGTGACTCGAGGTGGTCCATCCAATGCTGCTCCAGTGTCTGAAGTGCCATCTCCATTCATAACTGGGCTTCCTGAGGTTTGGCCCCACAGGCTGACCCAACTCCTCTCTCCAGGACCTGAGCTGATGGGGATCTGACAGGACACCCACCTGTCACCATAGTCCCACCATGGGCTTTCCTCCAGCCATTGAAAGGGAAGCCACCTAATTCAAGGCCCACCTCCCAGGGAGAGGGAGAGGGAGAGGGAGAGGTCACTCCTGACCAGCTTGGACCCTGTTACTCATGGGTGTGCTATTGCTACTGGCTAGTGTCTGTTATAACTGCTCCCCAATAGGATGTTGTCTGATTCCTGACATGAGATTCCAGGGGAGGGCTTCTAGGGCCAGTGAACCTGGGGATTAATAGTGGACATGAGATGCTCAATGGGATCATTATATGGGTCCGGTCATCCTGTGTCAGTCAGATTACCCTCATCTCTGATTTCTTGTGTCACTTGATAGTGGCCCAGAGCCCAACAGAGACTTCAGTTGTACCTCCCAGATCTCAGTAAACCTGACTCACCTTAGCTCCCCTAGGACCACCTCACCGCGTTGCACAACCTTCTACAGTGCAGTGAGAACACCGGGATCACAGGTGGATACAATCCCGAAGGGTGGGTAACACTAGAATACAAGGGGTCATTGAAACTCTCATCACATACAAGGAGCTCTGCACCCTCATGGGACAGGTCAGGCTCTGTCCAGCTTTTTTTTCAGGAGAGTACTGAGGATTAGTGAGCATGATCAGAGTGTTGACGCTGGGTCACTGCTACCAGATGTGGTCTCATCCACAAACCCCAAACCTCCTATAATTCTGTATTTAGAGAGTGAAAAGCTCCCATGGAAAGCGAATGCCCTAGAACCCTCTCACCTATACTGAGGTACTGACTCTCCGTAGGTTCACCCCAGAGCTCCCTATATAGTAGGGCGACATGCAAATAGGGCCCCTCTGGTGGTAAAAACCACCCCAGCCCTGACCCTGCAGCTCTGGGACAGGAGCCCAG